CCCTGTCCCGGGTCACTGTCCCGGGTCACTGTCCCTGTCCCTGTCCCGTGTCACTGTCCCGTGTCACTGTCCCGGGTCACTGTCCCGTGTCACTGTCCCTGTCCCTGTCCCTGTCCCTGTCCCTGTCCCTGTCCCTGTCCTGGGTCCCTGTCCCAGGTTCGTGTCCCGGTTCCCTGTCCCGTGTCCCTGTCCCTGTCCCTGTCCCGGGTCCCTGTCCCGGGTCCTTGTCCCTGTCCCGTGTCCCTGTCCCGGTTCCCTGTCCCTGTCCCTGTCCCTGTCCCTGTCCCGGGATGTGGATCCCCCCGGGGCTGCCACTCCCCCCGGGATGACGATGTCCCCTGTTGTCCCCCTCTGTCCCCCCTGTCCCCTCTGTCCCCCCGGGACCTCGCCCCACCCCGGTTCTGTCCCGGTTCTGTCCCGGTTCTGTCCCGGTTCTGTCCCGGTTCTGTCCATCCCTGTCGCGTCACCCCGGGGTTGCCTCTCCCGGGCGGGACCCGCGGGGATGTCCCGGTCCCTGTCGCGACATGTCACCGTCCCTCACCCGGTCCCTGTCCCGACATGTCACCGTCCCGCATCCCGCGACACCGCTCCGCATCCCGGGATTCGCGTCCCGCCGCGGGATCGGGGTCCCCCCGGTGTGTCGGGGTCCCCCCGGGGTCACCGCTGTGTCGCTGTCCCCCCTGGTATCGGGGTCCCCCCGGTGTCGGGGTCCCCCCGGGGTTGTCGCTGTCCCCAGCCCGGGGTCCCCTCTGTCCCCCCCTGTGTGTCGCTGTCCCCCCTGGTATCGGGGTCCCCCCGGTGTGTCGCGATCCGTCCCGGTGTGTCGGGGGCCCCCCGGGGTCACCGCTGGGTCGCTGTCCCCCCTGGTATCGGGGGCCCCCCGGTGTCGGGGTCCCCATCCGGGGGTCCCCTCTGTCCCCCCCTGTGTGTCGCTGTCCCCCCGGTGTGTCGGGATCCGTCCCGGTGTGTCGGGGTCCCCCCGGTGTCGGGGTCCCCATCCGGGGGTCCCCTCTGTCCCCCCCCGGTGTGTCGGGATCCGTCCCGGTGTGTCGCTGTCCCCCCCGGTGTCGCGGTCCCCAGCCCGGGGCTGTCGCTGTCCCCATCCGGGGGTCCCCTCTGTCCCCCCCGGTGTGTCGCTGTCCGTCCCGGTGTGTCGCTGTCCCCCCCGGTGTCGCGGTCCCCCCAGGGGGCGGAGCGGCTCCGCAGCCGCTCGGGACCCGCCCGGTGCCGGTGTCCGGTGTCCGGTTACCGGCTGCCGCTGCCGGGGCCGCAGGAGCCGCCGTCCCCCGGAGCCGCCGCCCCCGCAGGTACCGGGCCCTGGGGAGGGGGCGCGCACCGGGCCCGGGGGGCTCGGGGACACCCCCGGTACCGCCAAACCCCCTCCCCACCCACCCCCGGGCGGTGTCCGTGGGGAGAGACCCCCGCCCCCACCGCCCCGCCCGCCCGGGGGTCCCTCCCTGGGTCCCCCCCCAAATCCGGGGGTCCCGGCCCCGCCGCCCCCCGCCAGACCCCGGGACGGGGCCCGGCCCCACTCGGGGGCTCCGTGGGGCGGGCGGGGCCCGGAGCCGCCGTGACCTTGGGCGGGGACAGCGGGGGACGGGTGCCACCCGCCGGGGGGACAGCGGGGGACAGCGGGGGACAGCGGGGAATGGGTGTCACCCGCCGGGGGGACACGGGGGACAGCGGGGGACACGGGGGACGGGTGTCACCGGCCGGGGGGTCACAGGGCACGGGTGCCATCCGCCGGGGGGACAACGGGGGGACAGGGCCAGGCCGGGCCGTGCGACATCGGTGCCATCAGAGCCGTGCCAGGGCAGGCGATGCAGTGGGGTGCCATGGGGTGACACAGTGGGGTGCCATGGGGTGACACAGTGGGGTGCCATGGGGTGACACAGTGGGGTGCCATGAGTGGCTATGGGGTGCCATGGGGCCCCATGGAGTGCTATGGGGCGATGCCATAGGGTGGCACAGTGGGGTGCCATAGGGTGCCATGGGGTGCTATGGGGTGCCATAGGGTACCATGGGGTGCTGTGCGGTGCCATGGGGCGCTATGGGGTGCTATGGGGTACCATAGGGTGCCACGGGGCGCTATGGGGTGCTATGGGGCGCTATGGGGTACCGTAGGGTGCCATGGGGCGCTATGGGGTGCTATGGGGTACCGTAGGGTGCCATGGGGCACAATGGGGTGCCATGGGGCGCTATGGGGTGCCATGGAGCGGTGCCATGGGGCACTATAGGGTGCCATGGGGCGCTATGGGGTGCCATGGAGCGGTGCCATGGGGCGCTATAGGGTGCCATGGGGCGCTATGGGGTGCCATGGGGCGGTGCCATGGGGTGCCATAGGGTGCCATGGGGCGCTATGGGGTGCTATGGGGCGCTATGGGGTGCCATGGGGCGGTGCCATGGGGCACAGCAGCCCCGCTGTGAGCGGGTGGCACCGAGCCGTGCCTGTCACCCTCAGCCCGAGGCCACCCGCGGCCACCCTGAGCTCCCCCGGGTTGGGG